AAATATGTCAGCCCGAACGTAAAACCGTTGACAGTCGAGTTACTCGACGTGTTCTACTCTCTGTTTTCGTAGTCGGATTTGCAATAACACGCTATCCCGCATCACCGGGATTTACCGTTACGACGTATCGACTGGCGTATTGCGATAGAATTTGTATTTTATCGTTTCTTCATTAACAGATTCAAGCATTGAAACATCGATTATGTCCCGCGACATCTCAATCTATTTTGTCAGTTACATTGTCAGTTCGGGCCTGGAAACAGACATCGCGTACGACTACCGCTCGCAACTTGTATTTATTCGAAAAATTATGCGGGAATAATCACGTAAAATTGCACGCGATGCGATAATACGAGCATCGTCTTTGCGTCTCGCCACTTGCTCGTTATTTATTAACGAGTTTGAGCATTAAACAACTTTGCTATATCCTCGGGGACAAAAGGTTCTCAAATTGCAACGCGTCGTTTAATGCCCGGAGGGTTTATCAGGAAGAAAAAAAGTAACAATTAATCCACGCTGTGTGTTGCTATTTGTCAGCGAGGGTGCCGGTTATTTAACGTTACGATGATTAACAATGATGATAGGTTGTATACGTCAAATTACATAAGACGGCAGAGCGGAGGAAAAAGTTCGAGAGCCTCTGCCTTGTGAAAATTACAGGCTTCACAAGGCTTCACATTTGATCAGCTCGTACGAGGAGGCGTGAAATCGCGTTAAACGCGTCAGGTAATTACCCATGGTGCATTTTATTTCTCGTCATCGCTCGAGCGCGCGCGCGCGAGTTTTAGAATTTTGCAAAACCCGGTGGAAACCCGCCCGGGTTGGCAACGGAGCCAGCAACGCGGGAAGAGCATGATCCTGCCAACCAACACTATGGTGGTAGTGGGATCGAAAGGAGGCGGAGAGCGAAGCCTGTCATCGCGGTAAAGGATTCGTCCTTGCTGCACTCGCTCTCCCCGCCTACTTTCAACCTCGCAACCGCATCGACGACGACGACGACGACGACGACGACGACGACGATGTCGACGTCGACATCAGTTCACTATGCATATGTCTATTCTTTTTTCTCTTTTTTCTTTTTTTTCCATTTTTTCTCCCGCTCGGCGACTCGAAAAAGTCGAACAGCACCGCTGCCGACCTTTCTTTTTGGTCGCGAGAGAACAAACGACGACGAGAAAGTTCGAAAAACCCGATGACGAATGCGCGGTGTAGTAGCGCGTTCCGTTCCCGCCGCCAACTATCTTCATCGTTAATCTTCAAGTATTCCCAAGGAACTCCGTAATGAATTTGCTGGAAAACGGGGTAGACCGCCAATGTAGGTGTGTGTATACACATCGGGAGCGTCAGATAGCCTTGACCTATTGGCGCCCCCAAGTCTGGTCCAAACTTCTTGCGGGTTTGGCTTCAATTCTCCGGGGACTCTTCTATACATCAAACACTCCGCCCTCGCTGCTACATCCCGACTGCGGTGCGCTATTACGTCAGCATTGATAGAAATTGATACGGTAAAGTCAGATGCTCTCTAACGTCATTTTTTATCAAGCCGTTTGAAAAGGCTTTTCTTTATGATTTTCACGTCGTGCATTTTTACCGTTTAAAAATTATGGAAAAAATACATAATTATTCCGAGATACAAAATAAATACGTTTTGTCATTTTACTAAAAGTCGAAACTTGAAAACTTTGAAAAGAAACAGACTTGTCTAGGTTTTTTTTTTTTTCCAAAGTATAAAACTCAAAGAGTCTGAAAATAAAACAATATTCGAATTGTCTTGATTTTATTCTTACATTTTAAAATTGATCAATTGTAAAGGAGTACACTTTCTTTCATTTCAAAAATGTTGGATTATTTAATCTACATAATCGGATAACACGCAACTTCAAAGCGAAGAAAATTTATTAGTAATTTTTTTCATCTTAACGTGTAAATCATGTAATGCGCGTAGTGATGTATAATCGCCGTTATTAGCCTTAGTTACGTAGTCGTAAGAATTTTTTATTAAAAAGAGATGAAAAACTCTTTTACTTTCTCCGCATAAAAATGAGTTTTATCCCCCTCGCGCTCAGCACTGATAACTTTTTCTACTCTCTTTTATAATTGCAATATATTCCCGATTACGATTTTATCCTCCTAGTTTATTCGAGATTGTCTCTGTTAACGTTTACACCGTGTTGTATCTCGTTGTTCTCGCCGCGGAGGAGGATTTCGCGTACATCGCGTTGAAACTTTGCCGTCTGGAAACTGGAGTAACTAGACGGAGTAACTAGACGACGTCCCGACGTGAAAAATGTGCGCCACATTGTAACGACACGTGGCGGGCTCGAGAAAGCACGACGACTTTCAACGAGGAGGAAAGTACTCGCGGGAAGAACCACGGGTCTAACCGAAACTCAATTCCAGGATCACGACCTTCAGTCCGCGCGGTGGTTTTCGGACGGAACTTTATGGACCGTTTTCACGATCGACATTTTAATAGAATTATAAAGAAGGAGCACGTGTTCGTCTTTGCTATCGTTATCGTGCCGCATGAATCGAAACGAGATCGACGTCAGTTCCGCTGCGCTCACAAAAATCAAATGCCCTCGCGCGACGATAACGTCCTAAAACGTTACATAATGACGCGTGAAATTATTGCCTATGAAATGACATACACGAGCACACTTTCACGAGAGTAGTCGAGAAAGTATTACGGGAAGATGAGGTGGCTAGAGAATTACGTTAACGCGGACCATTTATCGACGACTCGTGACACCGCCCGACTATTTTCAGCGAGGTCGTTCACATAATTTAATGATAAAAACGGAGAGAGGAGGGAGGAAGAGAGAGATCGGATAAGTTATGTAATACTCGAAAACACATAACGACAACCTCTCTTCTCTGGGAGCATGAGAATTGACGTGCTCTGATCGTCGCAAATCTCAATCGCGAGTTGCGATTAAACTCGTTGAGAAATTAAATTTAAATTCATAAAGATTAGCGCTTATGTGGCGCTATTGGTTTCGTTATCTCTCGATGTTCGTAGAGCATGTACCGTGGAAGTGTTTGTGGGGATAAATGCAGTCGGAAACGTTGGTCTTTCCAACAGATTCTATCCATTGATTACATTTCGCAATTTAAGGATTGCGAGCGCGAAGCGGACCCGACGGCGGGCGGCGCGACGAATGCAAATGCACTCGCGTTCCTCAGCGAAACGTGATAAAATTTGCAAGCATCGCTCTCGCCAGAACTTTGCAATTAAATACTAATCAGCACGACTCGAATCTAATTTTGGTGCAGAGGAACCGAAAAAGATGGCGAACGCGTGCGATCTGATAGCGATTTCGTAATCATTCAGTGATGCAATTAAAACACGCAAAATATACCGCGAGTCTGTCCGTTAATTTTTATTTTATTCATATCAAATGTCAACCTGTCAATTTTCATCCGTTAAATAAATTAAGGAAAATTTATCGCATTCGATCAGAGGTAAATTCGAAAGTTTCGCTAAAGTTTCTTTCGTTTCGTGACTTTCAATACGGAATACTTTTTTGTATAAGAAAAGAGGTGAAGCCTACATCTTTACCTATTCTTATTAAATATTCTTTCCATCTCGTCGCACGTTTCGTGCACGTGCGCACTGAATTATGCGCGCACGTGCGCTTTTTATCAGAATGAGCGTTTAGCAAATCTATCGATATTTCCGATCGGGCGAGGTAATCGAGTTTAGCCGGAGACTAATTTTCAGTAGCCGGCCGAGTCAGGAGAGAGAGAGACAGAGAGAGAGAGAGAGAGAGAGAGAAGAAAACAAGAGACGAGATAGTGCCGTTCCCCTGATAGCGAATAAAGCAACGCGCGTCTTTAATTACCGCACTGTCAG